TACAAATGATGAAATGCAATGTAAAATTACCGAAGAAATACCAGCTCACAAAATCACAACCGCTCAAACCAACTACAATTCAATTCAAAACCTTTTATTTATTCAGGTGAAAACCCATTGAGATCATTGACCTCTTTTTCAATGGTGGCCTGCTGCAAGTAGGTTCCAACATGCATACAAACATGACAGAAAAACAAAGAGGACATCATACGGCATATTTACATTGACTACAGTTTGTATAGCTAGTAGCATTTACAGATACCAACAGTTTCCGATTGGATAGCATCTATCCTTGCTTTAAAAACATGTAATGGAACCAAACTGCTCAACTTCCATTCCTTTTGCAGACTGTTCCAAATTAGCGGAGCTGCGCATCTAAAAGCTATCTTCCCTAAGACAGTCCTAGCAGTTGGCACATTTAATATAACCACAGCATTCGATCTCAGGCAGTAGCCATTTACAATACGCCGTGAGATCAGGGAGCAGATGTAGGATGGAAGTTTCCCTAACATTGCTTTGTAAATAAAAAGATACCAGTGATTGAGCCGCCGTACAGTTAGTGAAAGCAAACCTGCCCTTGCATACAGGGTACAGTGATGGGTTAATGCTTTACAGTTTGTCCCAAATCTCAGTGCACTGTGATAGGCGGCATCTAACTACAAACTACTACAGCGGATTGGGCAGAGAGCGAGTCCGAGAAAGTTGCTCCCCCATGCGACGTAATATGACGCGTGCAGAGCTCAAAGCGCCTCCTTTTCCTCTGAATTCCTGCCCTTATGTCTTGTAAAACATCAAATCCTGCATTAACTTTTTTAATTGTAATTTTCAGGCAAGGTTAAGCATAAATGTAGTAAAAAAAAAAACCCTGCAAGTTGCTCTTTAAGTTACTTAACAAAAATAATCTCAATACTAAACCGACAAGGCTGAGGAGTTACATGTTTGCTGTGTTCCTACAGGTGGTGTTCCCGAAAGCCAACTTCCTCTCCAAGGACAGGCTGAAGGAGCTGGAGCGCTTCTTCCCAGAGAAGCCGGATGCAGAGGAGCCAGAGAGCATGGACGACGACCTCTACATCTACGCCGACCTGGAGGACTGTGACATGGAGAAGAGAAGAAGAAACAACCATCAGTACTACTACATGGAGGAAGAGGACTACGCCAGCCCGGGGGGAGTTCAGTGCCAGACGTCCTAAACAACAACTGGCCTCCATCATCCCTCAGCCCGACCCTCATCTCTACAGAAAGGCACCTTTTGGGATTTTTGTGCACTTTTTATTTAATTTTTTCTAGTATTCTGTCAATCTGAATCAGAAAAAGGTGTATCAACCCCCTCCTTGATATATGATTTGAATACTGATTGGATGGAGAAGAGTATCCTGAAGCTCCTGGATTCAACTCCGATCTGGGAGAATGGGATTCCTCTTCATCTCTGGGACTTTTATTTGTTTGTTTTTTTTCAATCACACTGTGATAAGAGGCGAGGGGTATCACAGAGGCTTAAGAGAGACTTTTGTCTGAACAAAGACTGCCTGCTTTTTATGCATTTACACTAAAACAGATGCCAATATTAATATGAGAATAATCTTTTTTTATAGTGTTGCTAGATCAGCTGTTGTTGTGAACCAATTGTTGGTGACTTGTTCAATCCGTTATAAAGACCCAATCTTCAGATAATGGTGGGGGGGGGCATTGAGTTGAAACACTTCTGCTGTTTGACCCTTTCAAGGGCTATTTTCTACACATTTCTTAACAATCTTGAAAATGTGGCAAGAAGACGTGAACTGCGAGTAAAGGTGATAATGATTCAGGCATGGCAGTATTTAGGTTTAAGCCACTAATGTAGATTATCCAGACATATATTAAAGTTTAGTTTAATATATAATGTTTGAGCTGCAATCCGTTTTTGTTTGGGTATAAACAACACAGTTAGATATGAGCCAAATAAGACATAAATAAGAAGGTAGGAAAACGATAAAAAAAAATGTCAACAAAACAGGTTAGAGGGTCTTAAAGACGTAAGCTATGTGGATAACGTGGATTCAGAAATAATATTTAAACATCATTCTGTGTTCTTGATTTGATGTGGTTCGGGGCTTTTATTTGGCAAACAAGTTGTCTAAAAACTCAAAGAACCTGCTTCTTAAGACGGGTCCAAAATGTCTTAATGTCTTTTCATTTTAAAAGGTGTGCCAAGTTCCCCCACAAGTTTTACAAAAAACTGTGATTAATGTTGAATTGTGATTTTAAACATTGAATCTTCTTGAGCTTATTGCAGGTATGTGATTTTAAAATCATTAGAAGAAAAAAAAAAACCCAAATTTGGATTTTTAAGTGTCTTCATTTCATATTTTTCGCCCTCAATGTTTTGCCAAACGTGTTGTGGGGAGGTTATTGAACTCTGAGCTGAAGCCTCTTTAATGTGTCTGCCTGTGTAAAAAGCCTTACCATAACTTAACTTGAACTTTTCAGTTTGGTTTTTTTCAGTGATGACTTTGCCTTGGATATTGTAAAACATGACTATGCTCATTGCAAGGGAGATTCCTTCAATTGTTGAAATCGATGCAAAAATAATGAGTACTCATAATGTCAGTGGAATCAACTGAAATACGTGTTGTTAAGTTTCTAATGATTGATGCTATGTGTGTGTTAGGACCAAACATAAATTATGTTCATGTTTTCTAATTAAATGTCGTTTGATGGTCTCTAAATTGTGGCGTTACTGATGTTTTATTTCCCTGCTTTTGGTGTTAACTTCTCCTGACCATGGTTTTCTTTACCAACTCATTTTTGCTTTATTGTTTCTTGCTTTTTATTTCTGCTTGCTGTCAGCAATGCCACAGAACATTACACACATTCTACAATAGAGCTGCAACAATCTATTGGTAGGAAATGATTGTATTTACTGTTACTAGTATAGTCAATTGAATATCGTTTGACTTTGGACCGACGGTTCAACAACAGTTTGAAAGTGTCACTTAACCCAAAATTATTCGTATTTATTTTGTACAGGCAAGCATATATTTTTGTTTCAAATATATTCTATCATTTTGTTATTTAGGTTAATACAAAAAAAATATATATATATTTACAAACAAATCTGATTCCTTTGGTGAGGGTTATATATATATTTTTAAATGTCACAAACACTGGAAATTATTAAAGATCTTTAATTGTATTTATATTCATCATCAACATAACTGGCAGTATTATATACAACAATAATAACAAAGTACAGTGTGATGAATAAACATTATTATTGCAACAATAATATATGGATGATAGTAAAGAGACAGACGATAGAAAAGACTAAATACTGAAGTACAAATAATAAAAACTGGTCGGCAACGGGCACCTGATGCACAGCAACACATTTTAGAGTCAGTGCAGCAGAACGACACATCTTAACACGTTAAATACATGTATTATATACACACAGGATACAGAATGTGTCACTGGAGCTCCATTGAGGTTTATCGTTAGTCATCATGCAGATTTCCACTAAAAACATTATTGTAGAGCCACATTTAGACAGTTCATGAGGTAGCATGCGGGGAGTACAGAGGACAAAACACATTTCTTCTGAATTCAAGTAAAAAAAAAAAGTATTATTATAAACAAAAGGTGACAAATCATTTACCTGATATTGTTTGTTTAAGCCCAAACTAGGCATTTTTTATCATTAATATTTACAACAGTTCACCAACATGCATATATGTTTGTCTAATAAAGACAGAAGACATGAAAGTGGGAATATAAACTGAACTGGTGAAGTTAGGTTCACAAGAAGGAGGTGTGTGCAACTTTTAAAAATCAAAAACCTTACAGATTATAGAACATCTATGAGACAAATTAAAAAAATATTGTTTAAATTGACAAATATATTTCGTAAAAATATATAAATTAAGACCCATTTAGAGTAAAAACATTAGTTTAAGACTTTGCTTAAAGAATCATTTGTGATATTCCTGTGATTTTCTTATTGTCAAATGAAAAGACCAAAACCAACAGTACATTTCTCCCTCGTACAGCTTTGGATCAAAAGACTGAGCATTTCTCTGTGCCGTTAAAATAAAAACACATCAGTGAGCGACAGAGTTGTAGTAGGCAACATGTTCAAATATTACCGTGAACATGGGTACTGTAGTTTATTAAGAGGCCAACCTACATGCACCATACTTCAGCTGTAAATACTCAGAGCACCAAATGTGTAATAATACGCAGCTAAATCCAGTCCCCAACAAATACATTATTTACTTATTTTGGATAATAATTTGTTGAAAAAATTAATATTTAGCTTTTTTCCAAATCTTTAGTAAAAACCAAAGGACTTTAAGGTGCCACAAACACGTTAGGAAAATAGGCAAAGTATAGTTGGTTTTCGTCATTCATGGGATTCATTGGCAATAGGAAAATAAAGAATATATATATGGAATCCTTTCATTTTCAAAAGAGAGATGAAAATCATTATAACCTCGTTTCCATTTAGATTTAGCATCTTTGCACGCGTTTAAATGTTTTCATTTGACAACATTATTATTTTTAACATTTTCCCCTTATGTAGCTAAATCTTTCTTATCCACCCTCCAACGTAACAAAACTTGCATTCGCTGTGTCTAAAATCGGTTGACATTTTTAAATGATTAGCAGGTAAATTATCACAATTGATTCAAAAATAGCAATTAATGGCTGAGGTACAACGTTTACATTTGAATACATTCAGGAAACAACTTCACCACAGGGTCTGTTAAGTAGCTGTTGTGTGGTGCTTTTCAGCACATGAGGGGCTGTAATAAGGAATAATCTTAGAAAAACCATTGAATTCAAAGATTAATTTGGAACATCATCTTTTGTGCCAACATTGACAAAAAGAAAATAAAGTGCTGGAAGTTTTACACCTGCACTTCCATGACAACATCTTCAGATAAAGATCAATTGGATATGACCTTAAAGCTCAAGACCAGCTACTGAATAGACCTTGTGATGAATTTGTTTAATACGTCCATCTTTTTTTATTACATAGAAATAACTAAATTGCTTTATACCCATGTGTCTAGCCCTCTTCTGTATCAGGATGCAGGAGACAGTTTAAGGTTTCCAAAGCCTCAGGAGTCCATCCTCACTGTAAGTAGCGATCAGATTCTCATGTGGGTGGTGAGCGATGCCAATTACAGCTTTTTCATGAACCTGCAGGTGCAGAGGAACAGAGATCACCATACACTCTCCGTTTCCCATTATGCTCAAAAAAATGACTGCAATGTAGATGAGCTGCCTCCTGTCACACACTTGATAATGAGTGAGTATTATCAGCAGGGCTTACAGTCAGAGTTTTCTGCAGCCTCCCCGTTGTGTAGTTGAAGCAGTAGAGCACTAAGTCCTCCCCCACACAGTAAATCCACTCCCCTCGGGGGGACAACGTGCAGCAGACAAACTTGGCCCTTTCCTCTCTGTCTGAGCTGAAGGTCTTAATAGTCTGAAGAGAAAGAGGCAAGGACATTTGGTTTGTACATTTATTTTCAACATTGTGTGGGTATTGGCAAAACCAAAATATTAATTCCTATTAAATAAAGACAAAGAACGTATAATGAACAATGGAAGTGGGTATTAGCCAAACCAAAATATGAATTCCTATTAAATAAAGACAAAAAGGGTGTATAATGAGCAATGGAAGTTCGGAAAGTTTAAAAAAACATTCACTTTTTATTAGACAAACTAGCTTGTTATTATGGTTCCTCAGTTTGGTCATGTTCCCCAGATGATGAAACCCACAGTATTATAAAAGCAGTCAATCTCGACATGAAAGTACCTATGTTCAACCAGTTTGAATATTGATGTGTATTTTGTATATTAAAAGTCTGACCTGACCGTGCATGCTCATGGTGACCACCGTGTTGGAGTGGTTACAAATCACAAAGTGCTCTGGGTTTTGGGGCAGAGGAATCACGTTGTTGACGGGCACTTCTGATGTGTGGGACAGATTTTTGTAAGTGTGGATGCATTTTCCGGATTCTGTATTCCAAATCTAAAATGTGTACATAAATATGACATTAATACACTCTCCCAGCGACATAATATTATCAATGCAGCATAGACATTCGAATAATATTCATCTTATACCTTAACCGTGCCGCCAGCGGAGGCACTGATGATGTGAAATCCATCTTGAGTGAAAGAAGCATCAGTCACAATCGATGAATGACCAATCAACTCCTTTAGTGTCGTGCCTGACCTCAGCGCATGGACTCTGAAAATGAGACGTACAATAATTGACCGACCCATAAAGCTGTAAAAAAAATTACAAAATCAAATAAAACAGAAGCTCTTATTCATTTTCCAACAATATATCATAGGTCTCAGTTATATACAAAACAGGTCTCTGAAGTGTTTGGCTCGAAATACCAAACAGATCATGCATTGCAGCATCCCATAAATCCCTCTGTTTCAGCCCTGTTTCAAAAGTGCTGATTCTGTGTCCGTACCTTTAAATGCTAATGAGCTGCTGCTGGCCACGCCCCTCTGCCAGATATTTGGTTTAAAAGAACACAAAGGTGCTCTAGGAGGAGATTCAGGTGATAAGGTGGGGGGGTGTTACTTTGGTTGGTTATTGGCTAATGGTTACACAACCCGAAAAAACATTGTGACATCACAAAGTGGCCAAAATCTGATCAGCTCATCATCAGACAGGTTAAAATGGATCAGGACAAAAAGTGAGTAGATATTTTTTCCTGAAACTTTCTGAATCTCTTTACACAGAGGGGACACATGTTTATGTATAAAAGACATGAAAACGTGGAATCTGCGTAATAGGTGACCTTTAACAAATCTCGGTTCATTTAACTCAAGAGTGTGCTTTTGTTGGGGAGCAGGTGAGACATGTTGCTGAGGTGCAGATGTTTTATTTGTAGCTCCTGTGCAGGGACTGGGTGCAGATTATAGCTTATACCATGAGGCTTAATGCCCACTGAATCACTCTATCTCTGGGATAAATATTTTTGCATAAGTCAGCAATTCAGACTCCAAGCTCGTGGGATTTCCAAGAAGATGAACACTTTGCATCTTTCTGTCTGAGCACATGGTCTCTGAGCGTTACACCCACACAGCAAAGGAGCTGAACACAGCAGAGAGACTCAGCCCACACACCCCAGGAGTCAGAAATAGATCTTCAACTTCTTAACTAAAAGGGGATTCAGTTTGTGTTTGTGTGTGTGTAAGGAAGTGAGAGAGCGAGAAATAGGGAGGGGAATAACAACCCAGTAACATATTTACATTAAGGTGCACTACTCTTGGAATCAAAATGTGATCATCAAATGCTGATCTCTGTGAAATAATGGAGCTTTTCAAAGGTTTAAAAAGACGTGCACTCCAAATGCCACCATGTTATTTTTGTTCCTTTTCCACAGTGTGTCAGCCATGCAAATATGAATGGTGTTACATCCCACCTGATGGTCTGGTTAATGGAGGCACTGAGGATCAGGTCGTTGTCCTTGGAGAAGTTCAGAGAGGTCACACCTTTGTGGTGTGCATGTTCAAACCTGCGCAGACACAAACCGCTCTCGATATTCCACACCTTGACAAAGAAACACACGCATTTTTGAGAGAGAAGATGATGATATTACCGTTTGAACAACATCATTAACGTCAATTCATGTCATTTTTCAATATCGTAACACTGCTGTGGCACCATTTCCATTCCCATGCAGTGATAAAAAGTTACGTAGTAGTAGTAGTAGTAGTAGTAGTAGTAGTAGTAGTAGTAGTAGTAGTAGTAGTAGTAGTAGTAGTAGTAGTAGTAGTAGTAGTAGTAGTAGTAGTATGAGATTCAAACCTTTATTTTGCCATTCTGAGCCCCAGTTGCCAGTAGGTCTGTTTCCTGACTGAAGCACAGACACAGCACAGCATCATCCATCATCATGAAGCTATCATGGGCCTGGTACTTTAAATCCTAAATTCATGCAAATTCACAGCCACAGAAACACACACAGCAGAATTTTTTTTTATTTAAACCAAAGAATTGAAAGATAGAGATTTACGTAATATTTCATCAAATGTTGTCATATTTATAGTTGCACTGTTATTTTTCTTCTGTAATTTAGCCATGTCGAAGTTTAAAATCTCTTGTTGGCTGAGTGTGTGGCATTACAACACTTATAAATACTTAAATTAACAAGCTACAAAGTTATCGACAATATCCACTAATAGTAACAGGTGTTAGTTTGAACATCTAAAATAAAGTAATCACAATACATTTGATAAACAAGCCGTATAAGACATTTCTATATTTTAAAATATCATAGTATGAAACGTAACTTACCTTACTTATTTTTCCAGTATTAAAGTTCCAGACCTCGATGAACCCATCCACCGATCCCGTGATTAAGTACTTTCCATCGGGAGAAAAACGGGCACACTCTACATGTGACCTACGCCCGAACTGCAGGTAGAAACAAAACCAAGTATTCACGAGCGTGTGCTTGCTTTGCTGCCTGTGGTCCAGAAGCACTTAGACATAAACACAAACATACATCACACGTTTTCCACCATGCTGCAGTCTGAAGTTGTTTAGTCTAACCATTCACAAGCGTATAACAGAAGCAGAGATAAGCAAGGACAAGAAACTGCAGGCAGCTCCATCCGGGTGAAAGTGATGAGAGCACAGCCTGAGACTAAGACAAGTGCCTTTATGTGAGTAAAGCAATTCCTTTTTGTGTGAGGGCTTGTAATATTTACATTGTGCGGACATAAATGTTTTAAAACAGTCACATGATGATGCCTACTGGCCTTCGTTATGGGTTAAAAATGCAACTCACGAAAACAAAAATAATTATCTTTTAGAGTGAAGACTTAAGGGTTAAGTTAGCGTTAGTCTCATGGAAATGAATGTTGGTCAAAGTAATTTCCTCTTAACTGATAACATCAGTGTGTGTGTTTCTGTGTCATTCATCATTCAGATGACCTCCGCCATGCTGCTGCACAAGACAAGCGCAGACTCAGGAAGGAGAAAGCAACCACCAAACAGGTCCAACCCAAACCCTCCACCACTACATTCCCCTGTCCACACTGCACAAGAATAATCGGGTTCAGAATCGGCCTCTATGCCCACCTGAAGACCCACAAGGACCAAGAAGGAGGACAGTCATACTCGACTACGAGTGTCCGCCGATGATGTTTCTGTGTGTGAAATGACTCATCGAAAAAAAAGTCCTATTCACTGTAAATGCACTGTTTACAATTTAAAAAAGATAATAAACTATATATTTATTTACAGTACAGGAAGTTGTTGAGGATCTACCTTGATGTGGCGGTACAGCTGTGTTGGAAAGCTCTCCTTCTCCACATGTCTGTCCTTGTTGGCAGATGTGTCGATGGCCATGTCAGAGAACAGATTACCTGGACACTGTTGTATCTTTAGAGACTGTGGAACAGAACACATATTAATATTTTGTACATTTTACTTTTACAAAAACTCTACAAAATTACTAATAGTAAGAAATGCCAACTTGAATATTCAAATGAATTGATTAATTTTTAAAAGCCTGAAATCTGTAAAAAACAAAACATGTGAATGGGAAAGTGCACTCTTTGAACAGCTCCAAGAACAAAAATGTCTTAAAAATAAAGACGGACTGTAATGTCTGTGTTCTCCGCACATTTTCTTTTTGGAACTCTGATTGGTACACAAAAGTATGTGACAAAAGTTTCCTGACTTAGCCCCGCCCACTTACAAAGCTTTTAAAGGTGACCTATCATGCAAATTGCACTTTTGTACGTCTTTTATACATGAATATGTGTCCCCGGTGTTCCAGGAAACTCACCAAGTGTCAGAAAATACAACCCTCTCTATTTTCCTCCATACCCAAATCTCTTAAAAAGGGGCTGCAACGGATCTGATACAGACTGATCCAGATTTGAACACTTCTCTGACATCACAGAAGTGGCGCTACAGCTATTGGGCCAACTCCACCAATCAGGAGGAGACAGCCACGGACATTGCCGTTCGAAAGCGCTGGAGACGCTGTAGTACATATGCCAGGCCTGTAGATGGTGCTGCTCTCACAGAATCAGCCCATGAAAAGACAGTGTTAAAGTGAGCGAAATGAGGAATGGCTAAAATGCATGATCTGTTTGGTATTTTGAAAAATAAAAAGTATAAATATGCCTTATAGGTATGGTCCTACACTATATTATTCAAATATAGCATGATAGGTCCACTTTAAAGGAAGTCAGATTCAAGAAAAGGAGATATCCCTCTTACGATATAACTAAAGCCTTTCCAATTTTGAGTTTTTAGGTTAACAGCAGAGAAGGGGAGGGGAAATGAAATATGTGTTTCCCAATCAAATAACATTGAGTGGCTTTCCTTTGTCCTATAATCAGAGAATGAGTACTGAGGTATATGGATGAGTACTCACACCAACTTGTCCCAGGAGCCCCATGAGGCGAGAAGGGGGCACCACGCTGACCTCTCTCACCAGAGCCTCGGCTATTTCCCTGCGCCGCTTCTCCTTGCTGCCGCCATTTGGGTACGCCTGCAATGAGATAGAGAGGACAATACTTCATGAAAAGCTTATAGAGATACAGTTTAAAAGAAAAACATGTCATTGTCTTACCTCGCAAGGGTCAAAGTGGACGCATGTTAGCAGGGTCTCCAAATGAATGTACCTCTCTGGCTGCGTCTGCTTCAACATGATCATTGGGTCGGTTTGTCTGAGGAGCGAGCGAGCTGCTTCAATCTCCCTCATCTCAATGAGCTCCATTACTACCTGTTCGAGAGGTAGGCGTTACTGAGATGCTGCTAATTTAAACATCAAGCAATGAAAAACCTTAGCTGATTGATTCAAAAGCTCACCTGCTCATAAAGGTCAATCAGTGTGTTGTCAGGCAACTTGAGGGACTCGATAGCCAGCAGGACGGAGTCCCAGTGGCCGCTCTTTATATCTGCAATGAAGCTGTCGATGCTTTCCACTGTGTTGAGAGAGACGGTGGTCTCCTCCTGTAAGGTGGTCAGTGTTCGGTAGAGGTTGTTCTCCTTGAGGTACTGCATTATCAGGCGGATCACACTAGATGAGATAGGATCATTTTACACCACATGTTGACTGATAGTACCAATGTAACATTTAAATAATTAGAATGGTCTTCATTTGAACATTTGTGTACAAGCAACAACAGTAATATTTCTCACTATGTTGGTGATTTGTTTATAATCTCTGTCACAATGAGAATTAGAGAACGACTGAAACACTGTTTCGATTTCAAATGGGGTCAAACATGTGACCAAAGATTGTCTGGCACAACTTTCAAAAGACAACAATGTGTGTAGTCAAATTGAGGAAAGCCATAGTGATCTTGATTACTATCCGCTCTGCAGTCTCTGTAGAAGCTTTTAAAAAAACAACTGAAGGCCCATCTTTTTTTATGTTAACCTTAATTTCTGCCTCATGTTGTTATTGTATTCATGTTTCTGTGGTATTAATTTGAACTTGTATTCTTTCTTGTGAAGCACTGTGAATTTTATTTCTGTGAAAGATGCTATACTAAATGTATTATTATTATTATATTATTATTATTATTAATGTGGACTTTTGTCCCATTTCAGAGCCATCTGCTGAGCAATTACACAACTCTGTTGCATTCTGATCCCCCTCTGCTGTCACTCCATTAGCACCAAACGGTGACTGCTGACTGGATTGAAACCACCCACTGGTGCTCTTTGACAATTTGTATGGTACATTTACTCCATTCAACCTTTCCTTTTAAGACGATGAGTTTGGCAACAATGTGTGCTCCATTCCCACGTGTCCTCACAGGGAGACAACATATCTAAGCATTAAAAAAGCACACCCACATCCTTTCCAGAGATGGAGAGCCTATATTAACAGACACATGTAGAAGAGGAAAACAGACAACCTCTCACTAAGCGCCAGGAACGTGAAAAATGTTTAAAAACCGATGATTTCAGCTGATTTACAGGCGACATTGGCCATATGTATATAAACAATAATACAATAAACAATAATACTCGTCTAATAATACAAATAAAGTGATACAAATAGAGTGAGTGTATGGAATATTGCGCAATATGGTGCACAAACCATGAGCAGACAATAAACAACATCAGAAACAGGCACATGTTGATACTCTTAATATTGTTGTTAATTGTATTTAAATCAAACAGTGGGCAAACGTCATGTCCTTAGAAGTAATTTCACATTGCATGGTAAGAAGGAACTTTTAGATAGACGCAAATATTGCTGCAAAATGATATTCCCACAAATTAATGATAAATAAGAGACACACTGTTCCCGCTCAATGCGTAACGAACAAGTGAGTATTTACAATAGACCCTGCCATGCACATCTTATATTTTTAAGATTTTTGCTTTCTATTTGTAAAAGCATACAGGTGCTACCATTATAATTTGTTAAGAGCACTTACTCAGAGGGCTCCATCTCCGCAGCCATGCTGATGTGGTCTCCTGTTGTTGCCCCGGACTGCCGCTCGCTAGAGCCACGTGAAAGCCGTGTGCCGAGGACCACCCACTACACGTGCTTCTCTTGTGTCTTGCATTTTCTTGCGGTGGGCACTAGTCCAAAAGCCTTGTGAATGCCGCTGCAACGATATGTCTTTGAGCTACGCCCCCCTCACCCTCTCTGGCGCATGCTAATATATACAGAAGAAACATTTTCGGTCCACGCTTTATGGTGGGGAAGATGCTGCAGCGGCAGTCGGGCACGAGAACAGCAGTGTCAGCACCAAGGACATAACCGCGTGCGTCTTGGAGTGCTCGTAGACCATTGGATTTATTTACGAAAAAACATCAATCTGAAAATCACCCCAGTGCACATGTATGTCTAGACTGGCATATATGCATGCATGCAGAGTGATAACCAGCCATCTCTGTCCTCCCACTACACACTGCGGGTGTAGGGGGCTGAGAGGGTTTAACAGTTGACGATGGTTGCTACTTGAGGGGTATTTATTAAATATGGATGCCACTGCTAATAAACCCATTGGTAAGCAGGTGCCTCGTAAAATACATTGTTTATTTTGAGGGTTTGACATTGTTGAGCTTCAGGAACACTTCCCGAACCACCCCCATTATAGTCAAATAAGGATGGTGGGAGTAACTGTACTGTACTTAATTACCATTTTGATGTACTTTACTTGAGTATTTACATGTTATGCCTCTTCTACTCCACTACAATTCATTCAGATGTATATTGTGTACTTTCACCCTACTACATTTATTTAATACCATAAATTACTTTGCAGATTTGGATTAATGATGTGAAATATAATCAACACTTAAAGACTTCAGTTACACCTGAGTACATTCACATGAAGCTACCCTGCAGTACGAAGTCATTCAAACTAGCTGAACCTTTACCAGCTTTGATAACACTTTAATGCATCAATCATTTTAATCAAAACATATAACATGTTATTCTGAAATCTGCATAAGGAGTACTTTAAGAATATTTTCATGCCAATACTTTTGTACTTTTACTTGAGTAAAAACATTTTTGAATACAGGACTTTTTATTGTATTCCTAAACTCTGGTACTTCTTATTTTACTCAAGTACAAGATCTGATTACTTCTCCCACCTCTGGCCAAATCACACATACAAATAGATTTCAGATTACATTAGAAGTCTGCACTGTAATACAAGTCTTTATATGTATAGTCATTCACATGACATGGTAGGCAGACAGACAGGTTGTGTCCTTCTTTTCTGTGGCATTAGTGACCTGAAGCTGTATAATCTAAAAAGCCTTCTGGTCAGCTAAACTAGACAGCCTTCAGCCTCTGCTGTCAGTTATTGGTCACGGACACAACGCCTGCAGATGTTCCCAGACCAGTGGTAACAACACAGCAATACTACTAAAGGGAGGTTTATTTGATCCCTTGTGTGTTCTAGCATTTTGTATATCTCACTTGACCATTCAAAAACAATCAATTCAATTCAATTCAAAACCTTTATTTATCCAGGTAAAATCCCATTGAGATCAATGATCTCTTTTTGAAGGGAGACCTGCAGACAATAATGATGATTGTAAAAAAAGTCACAAAAGGGTAAGGATTTTTTACCGTTATATTTATGTATTCAAAATAAAAAGGCTCTCCTCTGGTAATTCCAGTACAAAGTCACAGCCATTCACTCGCACAGTTGTTTGTTCAAAAGGTACAATCCCATCGTTAAAGGGTTTTGAATACATTTCAGAAACCAATTGTTAACCAGTTTGATATTGAGCAGACAGTTACTTTATCAAGCTAACCATATCATCTGGTAACATTTTCATCATCTTGAACAAGAGTACATGGTTTAGAGGAATCTGCAACTCAATGCTTAAATCACACAAATGTAATTCCTGTACAGTAAAGCTCATGCATCTTGAGTTCTAATGGCTAGCATCCGTTGTAAAATGCATCTTATATTAACCTTTTTGAACAATTAAACAACCTTGAAACCACTACAGGTCAAAAGTTGTAATGAGACAATCTGCTCAATGATTTATTGAAAGTATACACATTCTAAAACAGCTCAATGACTTCAATGGAGTATTGTCCGATGTCCTTGTTCACCTTCATCTTATTGAGCTCATGGAGGCTGCCCTCGATCTTTCCAAGCTCAGAAAACAGTCTCACCTGAGGGAACAGAAAGGCATCTTGGTATTAATTGTGTCTCAGATCACTACTTTCTGATAAAACTGCAGGTTTTTAAACCATACACAACCCAACATCCAATTCACCGGCAAATAAAAATAAGGTATATACTAAAAATGATCTCTCACAATATTGATGTTTGGGTTTTTTATCCATCCAATACTAATACCAGGAGGCCACTTACAAATTAAGACAAAGGGAAGACGGTTTGTTACCTGAGACTTAACAAAGGTGTGTAGGTTGTGCAGTAAGCCTTTGGTTTCTGGAGTCATCGCTAGCACTGTGAAATGGGCGTCTAACAGCAAGCATACCCAATCCATGATCTACAATCAAATAAAAAGGAAACCAGAGTTAGGCATTTCATTATTTCCGAACTAAAATGACTGTTGCATTCCACCTTTAGTTATTTACAAAAACAATTCATGGATTAAGTATACATTTTATTGCATTTATTATATCTCCAGTTCTTTGTTTGTCTATGTTTGTTACATAATGAGATTTTATGTAAAAACTCTCTCCATCTTTACCCTTTTACACTGACTGTATACAATTCAGACCAAACACAGTTAAGGTCAACATATGAGCCCAGTTTTTACCAACCTGAACAATTCACAGATATGCCTGATCCTTTTTAATATCTAGTTAGACGTTGATACAGACCTGAGTCAGCGTTGGAGATCTCAATCCATGCATCTGCGGGAAAGCATCTTGGGAATATTTGAGGTAAAGGAACTGCAGGTACCGGAGGAGAAGCTGATTGGATGAGAAAGAACATTAAATTATTATAAGCCTCTAGTATTAACGTTACTCCATGGTACTGGGTATCGTTGTATGCTGCCCCAAGTTGCCTTGCTGTTACTCACAACAACATGTTGGGGGGAGAGATCCTTCAGGTGAGGGAGGAGGAAGAAGTCGCTGTACGCCGTCATCAGGACCTCATTTCTATACAGCTCGAGTTAAGATCTCATACAAAGTCCATTCAAATTCATTACACACCATAAACGTTGCATTTATGCAGTTTATACTATGACATACAGCTGTTACTGATACACAAGATGTAGGTTGAATGACAACAAAACGATTTTAAAAAACTGATTTTGGTTAAAGGCACATCATCACAGTGAGGTATAACATGTGACTGGGTGGTGAGCATGTGTTTGAGTGTGCACTGGGAGGATACAGTAGAACACCCTTGTGTAATCCCACTGGACAGATTTGTTCTGGTGGAGTCGTGGTCTCCTTTTTTTCTGCTTCGGTGCCACCTGACTGATCCATGTCATTGGTGGCGGGGCTGAAACCATTCTGCAAGCCAACTGGGTCTCGCTCTCCAGCCATCAAGGTTTCCATTAAGCTGATACTCTCAGGCTCCAGGTTCACTTTCTCTGCATCACTGTCTGGCATACTGCAACATTTGGGCACAACAACAAGGTTACTTTTTGATTTGACATCACATTACACAGAGTTTGTTTACCCTAAAGAAAAACAATATAATACTTTAGTGACCCTTCGTGGTAGAATCAACAAGACCCTGTGGCAGAGACACCTATTAATGATTATATTACAATCCTCACTGAAGTGGTTTTGCACGTTAAAACAATCTGTTTTACCTGATAAAGGTCTTAAGGCAGGCACAGGTGACAGCTTCAGGGATGTCAGGGAAGAACTGCAAGCAGAGCTGACACAGGAAGTAGTCCTTCTTCTCCAAGGCCAGGAGCACAAGATCAGGACACATACTGTTGAATGTCATGATGGTAAGTGTTCACATTAGACTGAATTAACACTGATTGCATTAATCTAGTTTTTATCTTCCAGTTCATTCTTCATTAACTGATTCAAATTGGAATGCTTTACTGACCTGTGGCAGAGGCAGCGAGTCTGCACGAGCTGAGCCAGGATGCTGGGGGTGTAGAAGGCTTCCTCACCCAGGCTCCGGGACACGAGGGACGCTGCGAGCTGCCCCAGGGAGGGCTGCAGGTCCTGGACGTCTGTCCTCGAGAGGAGCCCCTCCACCTCCTTCTGGACCTCTGCCACTGATGCTGTCTGCAAGAACAATAACAAAATGTATTTTTTTTTATTAATTACACTTTTTTCCAATGCAGTTTCAGTATTATGAAAGCCATGAAAAAACAAAATTCTACCTTGATGAGCTCCATAATTTGGTCATTTGTTAAACTGGGTGCTGACTGGCTCTTACGGGTTGTTCTCTGTATGGAAAGAGAGAATAATCAAGATGTCAGTGTGGAAAACACGGGGTGAATGCACCAGCAATTCAGGAAACAGCTGTCCAGCCTCTTTCCCTTTTTTCCCCCCTTTGAAAACATTTGTCAAACATACCGTCTTTCTGGTCTCCACTGTTTTCGAGGGATTAGCTTTATCTTCATGCAAAATGTTATTCCAAGATGGTACAGAAGTGGAAGCTTTGGACTCTGTAACAGTAAGAAAAAAACAAATAGATTGAGTCAATTTGCAATGTTGAATCAGTACTGCAGCATTATTAAGAACAAGCTACTACAAGAATACATGTTATTGCAGTTTTTAAAGACAAAAGCTTTTGTTTGAAGTAATTTGTATACAACGTTTTGGTTTACTTCACAATCAGTACAACACATTTGTTTTATCTCACCTTCAGTCTTGGCCTGCCTCAGTTTTCCCAGGGCAGAGGCCAGGGAAGATTTGGGGCACTCATATGGAATAACCGAGAAGCTTTTCCCATGTGGAATGAATAACTTGTTCGAATAGCCCCATAACTAAATCCAAGAGAAATTGAACAAACGGGAATAAAAAGTTAATATTTTGCAATAGTGATGATACTAACTATCACAACTGATCTTTTTGTGCGTAATTATGAAGATTGTGAACTGCCATAAAGTTGTGAGGAGGGACAGTGAGCCCTGTCACAG